ATATATATATATATATATGTATGTATATATATATGTATACATATATACACACACACACACACACACACACACATATATATATATATATATGTTGAGTGATGCCAGTATCAAGGTTAGTATGATTTTTGAGTGTTAATTTCTAATTTCCATGTAAGAATTCTTACCGCTTCTTTAAAAAAAAGATTGGCCCCAGAATCTCAGACTACCATGCCCCAAACACCTGCAACCAACTGATGAAGTTTAATTGGCCACAGGACAAAGTTATTAGAAACTAAAACATGCCATCACATCAGCAGTCAAGAAAAAATTATTTAAACCTTTATTTTTTAAAGTTATTAATATGTTTCTCCTTCCTCTCAATACGAATAACATTTCAGCTACATTATAATTTTTAAAAGCTTTGAGCTTTGCCCGGAAATCCAAGTTTTTTGAGTACTAACTATTCTAACTGCAAATTCTTTTTTTTTTTTTTGAGAGTGGTCCGTCAGTGCAATTTCACTTGGACATAGAAAAATTGTGTAAAACTAACTGGCCACAGAAAATCTTTGTCAGCTAACACTAATCATGTAATACACTGCAGGCCTTTTGTGTATACTCTACTTATACTGTAACATTTAATCCTCACAAAAACCCTACAGACAGTAATATTCATAATGGCAGCTAACATTTATCTAATGATTACTAAGTACAAGGCAATCACTGTTCAAAGCACTTTATATGTAGTATTACCTCATTTAATCCATGTGACAGTCCTATGAGATAACCTTTATGATCTGAATTTTACACATAATATGACTGAAGATTCAGGAACTTTCTGAAGGTCACATTGCTAATAAGAGGTACCAGAATTCAAGTGCTGTAATGACTCCAAAGTCCAGCCTCCAGACCACAGCTTTTCGCTGCTTCTGCAACTGGTCTACATGGAGTAAACCATGGGTCTCCAAACCCCAGGCTGCAGACCAATACCGGTCTATGGCCTGGTAGGAACCGGGCGCACTGTAGCAGGTAAGCAGTGGGCGAGCCCGCGAAGCTTCATCTGTATTTGCAGCTGCTCTCCAGCATTTACATCATCGCCTCAGCTCCAACTCAGCTCATCAGGCATTAGACTGTCATAGGAGCACCGGTCCCTGCTGCCAAAAAGGTTAGAGACCGCTGGAGTAAACTATTAGTTTCATCAAGTATTATTTAATGAATGCCAAAAGAGAAGCAATAGTCAAAAGCAAATATGTGACTATGAGTCTGGATCCCAATAAGCTATTACTTTAAAAAGAGTTTAATGAGTCTGACAGTGAGTCTTTTAAAAATGTCGAAAAGAAACTTTGCTACTCAAAGTTACAACAGAAAATGTTACTGCAAAACAAAAAATCCAAATAAATAAAGTAAAATGCAAAGAAATGAGGTTACACTGAATCATATCCTATGTCTGCCTAGACTTTGGAAAAAGCAAACCAAATCCACTCCAAGAAAATTAAGTTTGTGGAAATCCTGCAATTTGATATAGACATGGAGTTTACTTTGGTTTAAAAAGTTTCTAGATTTATCATGGAAAAAAAAGTTACTGAGCATCCAAGTGGCCATATTGCTAAATCTGAACAGCTCAAGATCTACACAGTTTATTAGTGTACACATTTAATAATCACAACTTATATAGTTTAAAAAAATTATACCGTTTATGCTCATTTCCAGGCACAAGGAATTACAGTATTGCTTATTTTCATATAAAAATCTGTTAAAAGAGGGAAGGTAGGGAAGGAAGAGAAGGAGGAGGAGGAAGAGGAAACAATTTATTATTGGGATTTGGAACCATGAAATAAAGTAAAGGCCCACAAAGTGCAAAGAGTCCAGGCTGATTCTCAATCTAGTATTATTTCCATTCTAACCAACTTCTTCCACACAAGGTTTCTAAGGCCTGCAGTGTGTCTTAGAAATCATCTAGCTGAAAGCATTCATTTTACTGATAGCAAAAAAGGTCCAAACTCACATAATTACTGGCAGCAGAGCCAGAATAAGTAGGCATCCTGACCATGGCTAGTCTATCTGGGCATAACTATATTCTTTAGGCACACATAGTCATTGGTGTACACTTATTAAGGCCTATATAAAGAGAGTACCTTATTAGAAAATGGGTTTACCCACAAGTACAGAATCAGCATTTAAATTACACCATAGTGGGGGATATAAATCCTCTTGCCTTTTAAAAATAAATACATTTACTTAGAAGAGTTTTCAGTTAATACTAACTTTAAAAATACTTTAATTCAACACCGCAAGTGATATTGTTTTATTAATTTTAAAGAAGAAGGAATAAAGAAATTAAAGAATAACTCGAGAAAAAAATAAATTACACATGATGTGATTAACACTATTAATCATCAGAGAACTAATAATTAAAACCACAGTGAAATATCTCTACATACCCACTATGATTCAAAAGACTCACAATATCAACTGTTGGCAAGGATATAAAGAAACTAGAACTCTCATGTACGTTCAGCAGAATGTAAATTGTATAAACACTTTGAAATTCCAATTCCTGGGTATATGTTCCAACAGAAATAAGTGCTATGTCCAACTAAATACATATAAAACGATGTTCATAGCAGATTTATTCATATTGGCCCAAAACTAAAACAACATAAATGTCCATCAACAATACAAAAAATAAAATTGTGATATGTTCATACAACAGGAATACTATTCAAGAAGGAAAAAGAATGAACTACCGCGATTCAAAACAACATTGAGGAATCTCACAGAAATAAAGTTTAGCCAAAGAAGCTAGACATGAAAGAGTACACTGTATTACGATTCCATTTATAAAAACAAGCAAACTAATTTATAGTACTAGAGGTCAAATAATGGTTACCTTGGGTGAGGGGAAGGCATTTACTGGGAGGGGACAAAGGGGCCTTCTGGGATGCCGGAAATGTTCCATATCTTGATCTGGAAGATGGGTACATGGTTGTACACATATGAAAAAATTAATCAAATTGTACACTTACGATTTTGTGGATTCTGGTGTATGTAAGCGATAGCCCACATCCTAGGTACTCTTTTTCTCCACTTTCTGTGAGATTCGTCCATGTTGTTTTTTGTAGCAGTTCTTCATTCTTTTTCATTGCCGTATAGTACTGTATTACAATAATGTACTATAATTATTTTTGTTGTGGGGCATCTAAAAAAGTTTTAAAAATTAAGTTTTTTAGATCTCAAACGAAGATTTTCTCAGCTCAACAGCAGACTGTTTACTAAAATACTAAGAAATAAACTGCATTTGCATGTTAGCCATCTTCTATTTTCAGTATTAACAAATTGCCAGGTGACACTTATTTGGTGCCAACCAAGTCTACAGTGCTAAACTCAATGACAGAGTGACAGACACAAAGTTTTTCTCAAAAAGAATACTTCAGGGTATAAAAATGTTTGCCAAGATGACCCTTTGTGTGACCCTGAGTGCGGAACAGGAGTCTCAAAGCCTCACAACCACGATCATAGAAATAGGGCCCTATTAAAAAAAAGAAAGAAAGAAAAAAAAAAAATGACCCTTCGTGAATCAATAAAATACTGTATCTAGAGGACTGGTCTATGATTAGTAAACTTACGCAATTATTTCATAGGACTTTTGTGAACGGGATAAAAATGAGACTCAATCAAGGTAGGACACAGGAGGCTAATTCTCATTATAATCTGATGGACACCAAATAACTACAAAATTAATTTCAAATTCTATATATCTGCCAATGTTTATTGAGTCTCTACTAATTGCCAGGCACTATATTAAGTGCCTTATATGTGTTCTTTTACTTATCCTCACAATAATGGTATGAGGGATGGTATTATCTCTATTTCACAGATGAGGCAACGGAAGTCCCAAATAAGGCCACAAATATGTTCTCCTATGTTCTCTCCTGGAAGTTTTATAGTTTTAGGTTTTCCATTTACATCTATGATGCACTTAGAACGAGAATGGATAGTATCAGTCATGAAGAGTGTATAGAGTGATACGTGCAAAGAGTGGATGCAACCCAGGAAAAAAATAAAGACAAAGCTTAAGGAAGTAGAGTTGGGCAAAAAGACACAAGGCATTGTTGGAGAAACACTAGGAAAATTCTTCATAATCAACACTGTGTACTAAAATAAGCAAAACGGACTTATCTTGGATGAGATCACCAGTGACCCTACGAAGAGGATTTACAGTAAAAACAACCCTTTCTGACAACAGAACTAGATCTAATAAACTACTCGACAGGAATTCCCCGCTGTCGAAGCAACTGGGGTGAGGTCTGAAATCCCTGTGCATTCTGAAAGGTCACTTCTCCAGGCGCGGAAGGGTCTGGGCTTCCCGACACTGAGGATAATTGAGGTAAATCTCAGTCACGCACGCCCTTTGGGGGCCCCTCCGGAATTAGGTCCTGGAGATAAACCCGTGGAATCACTGCCCCGCTGGGAAATCAGAATCACACTCGCGGCGGGTATGCCAAGCTGACACCTCGCCAGGGAGGCGGCTGGCTAAACTACAGCAGAGTGGAAGGGCGGGATGGAACTCTACACTCAGTAATCCCGGGGCTAGGTAGGTTAGTCCCTCCCACTCCCCACCCACTTGTGGGCTGGGGAAGCGCGGGGCTCTGCGGCCCAACCTCGCGTCCCGCTCCTGCGGGGCGAAGAGCTCTACCACTCACCCGGTCCTTGGGTGGGATGTTGAAGCCACCGGCCACGTCCTTCCCCAGAAGCCATGCTGGGGGCTGTGTACAGACTCCCCCCGCGGGTTTCTCCCGGTCTAACCCGGAGCAGTCCCCCGGAGGCCTCCATCCCATCACACAGAAGCCGGCTTCCCTGTCCACTCCAGTGAGTCGTAAAGTGCAGTAAAGGCGCCGACGTTTTGCGGCACCGTATGTGAAGCCGGCGGCGTGGACCCTGGCTCGGCGCGAATCTGTCTTTTCGTCTGCTGTTTCTGCGGAAAGGTGGCATTTAGTGATTTGGGGGAGGACAGGGGCTCAGCTCTGACATTCCCAGCGGCTAACTATCGGCTCCTAGGTTTGTGTAACAAGAGAAAAATCGGGGTAGGGTTACTTAGAAACACTATTCCACTCCCTGTTTAAGAGACATGAAGTCAGTTTCTCAAACCTCACTCCTGTGACATCCTGTCCCTTGTGCTGTTTTTGGTTTTCATCTTCGTGATCGTCACTAGGTTTTAAGAATCATCGGTGTAGCTGACATTTGTTTTTCTTGTTCACTTCGTCCTGCAGTCTCCCTCCCCCTGGACTTTGAAATGCTTTACCTCATCGGCTTGGGCCTGGGAGATGCCAAGGACATCACAGTCAAGGGCCTGGAAGTTGTAAGACGCTGCAGTCGTGTGTATCTGGAAGCCTATACCTCCGTCCTGACTGTAGGGAAGGAAGTCCTGGTAGGTGGTTAAGGTTCTTCAGCCTCCTGGAAAGAAAACTATATCCAACAGGTGATTTTCATTACACTGAACTGAACAGAATTTTCAAACCTGCTTATTTAAACCCTTTAAAACACATCCCCTGCTCACTAAGGATCTGGGTAGTACAAAAATCAAAATCGTACACCAACCAAGTGACTTGGAAAATGAAAAAGTGCTTTGTCTTACTTTACAAGTCTAATTTTGTGGCTTTTTCCAGTAAATAGGAAAGTTATTTTATACTCCTCGGGTTAGTTATAAAAATCCCTTATTTCATGAGATAGCTAAGAAATCCTTTCTGAGTTGAGTGCTAATGAGGTGCTAACACAGCCTTAATGAGTTTGTTATAATTCAGAAACCAAGCTGAAAATTATTTCCATAGGGAATGGTAATCGCCTTTCTGTCTGTATCTATCCAGAAAGGTCTTACCTTTAAATAGACATCTCCAAGTGAGGTTTATAACCATACACTTGTATGCATCCAGTGAGCCGGAATGTAGTAACCCTAGCCTTTGTTAGTATGTCATACATTTAGCTGAGTCTCATTAATGGCTCAGTAAATTTTGGAGAAAGGGCTAAGATCATGTTCGTTGTCAAACTCCAAGTACAATATAAATTAGGATGAAAAGATTGCTGGACAGGTTATAGAAGGAAGAAGAGCATTTTATTTATTTATTTATTTACTTATTTACTTATTTATTTATTTATTTTTATTGTAACATTGATTAACAAAATCCAGTAAGTTTCAAGTGTACATTTAACAGTAAGGAATATATATATATATTGCATTGTGTGTTCACCACCCACAGTTACATTTCTTTCTGTCATCACATATTTGACCCCTTTTACCCCATCTACCTCCCCTTTCCCCCCGTCCCCACCCTGTGGTAATTACTAGTTTATTGTCCATGTCCGTGAGTCTCTGCTTGTTTGTCCTGTTCATTTGTTGCTTTTAGGTCTATATCCCACATATAAGTGATATCATGTGGTTTTTAATTTTTTCTCTCTGGCTTGCTTCGCTTAGCATGATTATTTCAAGGTCCATCCATGTCGCAAATGGCAGTATTTCATCTCTTCTTATGGCTGAGTAATATTCCATTGTATATATGTACCATAGCTTCTTTATCCAGTTGTCTATTGTAGGACACTTCGGTTGCTTCCATGTCCTGGCCACCGTGAATGATGCTGCTTTGAACATTAGTGTGCAAATATCTTTTTGCATATGGGTTTTCAAGTTCTCTATTATTCAGAAAGTAATTAGAGACAGGGAATCCAGGAAAGAGTTTTAATTTTGGTATATACAACTTGAATTTCTTTAGGCAACTTCTGTGGATAAATTATGATTTTATATGCCCTTGGTGCAATATACTTGTGCACATTGTACCAAAGAGATGTAAGATGATCTTGGTTCTCAAATGGTTCATGATTCATCTGTGTTATACCCAGGAAAACAAATAATAATGGAAGATTTAAGTAATAATTTTGATGGCAGTGGAAGGGGGAAACTATAAAATTATATTGCTGGAAAGAACTTAGATGGTCTTAAGTCAACATTCTTGCTTCACCAACTAAATAGTAGAAGCTATCTCATGTTAAGTAATTACTAGTTTTTAATTACAGTTGGAATACATGTGAGAGAGAAGATCACTTCAGGCTATGAGCTATGTTTTAAAATAATGCATCGTAGTCTTTAAGTTTTGTTTTCTTTTGTTTTCATTTACGTCATGGTCCAAATAGAAAATGGTAGTATTTGTACAGCTCTGCAGGGTAAATGGAGGAAACTGCTCAAGGCCAAAGGGAACTAACTTTGGGGCCCCAGCTACCTGCAGAAAGCAGGTACCTGCCTGTCTTTGCCCCATTGGTAGTACATGTGAAGTTCTGCAATCGGCCAATGTTCTGTGACCTTGGGCAGTCACTAAATTTTTCTATGCTCTTATCTGTAAAAGGGATAAAGATAGTGCCGTCTCATAGAGTGTGGTAAAGATTAAATAAACTCCTATACCACATAAGTTCTTAGAACAATGCCTGACCGCAGAGTCAACTCAATGTAAGTGTATTATTACAAATATTATGACAGATATTTGTATTATTACAAATATTATTACAGATAAGGGGAAGAAAAAGAGCATTCCTTGCTGAAGAAAAAATAATTGTGAGCAAAAGCATGGAGGAGAAAAGCACAATATTTGCTATGCTTGTTCTTGGGCATCACTGAAATAACTTTCATTTTCTCCCAGTGTATTTGTTCCTGCTCTTTTCTTCCTAACCTACTTCACCTGGATACCGGGTTACTCTTTCCTTGTCCTGTCAAACTGCTGCAGATTGATATTGGAGGCACAGAGAAGGACAGTAAAGGACTTTGCATTGAGCGAAAAGAGGCCATCAGCTATAGTCTTTATTAGCTTCCCATTTGTCTGTTCTCTAAATCTCTGTTTTAGGGAATCTACCTTCCCTCCAGCCTTAGAAAATGACTTGTAAGATGAGGTTCTCTTCCTGTCCAAGATTAATTCCAACTAGATGTGTGTTTTGCAAACCTTTTTTTCCTCCCCCTCCCTCTGGAACCTTACTCCCATCAATTTATTCTTCTTTATGTTTAATCTATATTAACATCTCCCCTTGGCCTGAAACCATGTTCAAATATTGTCTGTTCTGAAAACTCTCCTCTTTTAAGCCCCTTTTCCCATAATGATTATTGTTTCTCTCTCTTCTTGGAAAAGCAGCTCACTCATGTCTCAGACTCCTGCAAGCTGACTCCCATTCCTCTGAAGTATTTCTATTTATTGAACAATTATATAGTAGCTGAGAACTCCAGAGGACAGTTTTGAATTCTTACGTTTCACATCTTTTGACATAGGTGACTACTCCTTGAAACTGGCTTTCAAGGCATAACGTTCTCTTGATTTTATTTCGACTTTTCCTATTTTCTCAGTTCCATGTGTAAGCTCCTTATTTCTTATGACTTCTTGATCTTTAAGAAATTTTAGAAGTTCAGAAAAAAACATTTTCTTCATTTTTCCATAATCATGTGTTCTTTTACATATGTGAATATGAATGTTCTATAACTATTAAGTTCTGGGTTTATAAAACTAAGGTATATAAAAATTAATGATTAAGAAAAAATATATGGTAAAAGTGAAAATAGAACATTTTTATCTATAAAAACATTGTCATTGAGAACTTCTGGAACAATTATCTCTAAAATTTGCAGAGGAAAGGAAGAGATCTTTTTTCACATTTGAAGAGCAGATTCTTGTTAAGTATTAGGACATAATTATCACAGGTGGAACAATAGCCTTTATCTTCAAATGCTTAATCATTTGTTCATTTAGTCATTTGCATGACAAATATTAGTAATCCTTATAATTTGGCTTAAGATATAATCTTTACAACATAATCCTTATGACTCCAACAAACTTGTCAGTGTATAAGAAATAGTATTATTTATCTGTGCATCCACTTTTACTCGACTTGAATTACATACTACTCCACGGAGAGTCAATTATAAGATTCATGATCTTGCATAATAGCTTGTAACCACTACCACATGACCACAGGCACACCAGCTCCCTCTCCTTACTTAGACGCTGTCACTTCAGTTAAGATCAACTCCTGGGTTTGTTCTCTAGAGTTGAACTTAAGGTAATTAGTTAACAAAGCAGGTTATATGGAGGCTTCCTAAATATTTAGAATTCTTTTTTTTTTTCCCTGCAACTCTGCCCTTTTTTTTCTTTTTTCTTTTTTTTTTAGCAGAAACTAGGAAATACAGTTTTAAATTAGTCTTTCCTACAATTATATAAGAATGTTTGCTGGTTATGTAAACAGCTAAATCTTAGTTTTCTATTATTTCTCATTGAAGTTACTTTTCATTTTAGCCAGGGTCCCATAGATTTCCCCATGGAAAATTTAATAAAATTCAAACTGCACTGTATGTTTATAATTACTGTTTAATTTATATATTCTGTATTGCTATGTTTCTAAAGTAAGGCTCATGCATACATATTCTCTGTTCATCCTGCAATATTCTCCCTGGTCTATTAGAACCAAATTTAGAGGTAAATTAAAAATGCAAAAAGCCTCAGATGTTAGTCTACCTCCTCTTGGGATATTAAGATAAGCCTCAAAGACAGAGTTTAATTGCAGCATGATATAGAGTGCTAACTCATTGATATATTCAGTGATCTGTGTTTGGATGGTTGCCAAGATTTGCACCAGCCCCAGACAAAGATTATTTTGTGTGTGCATGTGTGTATGTGTGTTGAAATGGTCACCTGCTGTCTCATTGTGATATTGGATTTAAATCTATAGGAAGAATTTTATGGAAGAAAATTGATTCTCGCTGATAGAGAAGAAGTGGAACAAGAAGCAGATAATATTTTAAAGGATGCTGATATCAGTGATGTTGCATTCCTTGTAGTTGGTGATCCATTTGGGTAAGTCAAAGCAAATATTTTGAGTGTTAGTTGCATTTAATTATTTTTTTTTTTAAACCAATAAGAATTATTGTTATATTTAAAACCTTTTCACCTTCCAGATCTTGTTGAAAGACTCTGTTTACCAAAGCTCTGTCTAAAATTTCTAAAAGTTTAAACTTTTAAATGTCTAAAAGTTTAAACTTTCATTATCTTTGATATTAATGAAGAAAACCTACTTGGCTGGGATGTGATCATATGTATCATGTTGTCAGGTATCAACTCTAAAGTTTGTATCATTGCTTCTGCTGTTCTTTTAGAAGGTCACTTAGGACATCAAAAGACATAACTAGTATGTCATTAAATAAGTATATTACATTTTTTGAGAGTCATGCCTGCCACTTGTTTTGCAGGTAAATTACAAGCATCTTCTGCTTTCTTTTTTAATCATCCAATATTTAGCAATATTGCTGTCACTTTTCTTGCTTTGAATTTATCATCTATCAGGCCTCAGATTTCAATTTCTTATATCCATTGAGAGCTCTGTTCTTCCCCATTACTAAAAAGATGGGCTTCTACTTGTCTGGTCAAGCATCATCAATCTCTAATGTCAAGCCAAACAGAAGAGTTCTTTGTCTCCAGCTGGTGACCCAAGATTTATGTCACAGATTTAGGGAACATAAGGATAATTAAATCACTATGAGCCTACCACCAAGGATGTTTTTCAAGAGATTGGAGTTACAAGTGCGTGTGTCTGTCAAAAAGAAAGTAATTTATATTAATATGATGTGCCAGGGTTGTGTATTATTATTATACTTGGTTGCAAATGACATTGGGTAATCATACATTTTTAAATATTTAAATAATTTATTTTAACCTCTGACATTGTTTTTTGTAAAAGTAAGGCTTTCTTTAAAGGAAGTAACGTGTGTGTGTGTGTGTGTGTGTGTATTTTTTAATCCACAAAACAGTAAAATAAGGGTACTGAAAAATCGTATATATAAAATGTCTTGGAACTCTTATAGTATTTTCTTATTATCACACTGTCTTCTGCCAAAATCCCATGTTTCCTGTAGTGACACCTGAACTCGCCAAACTTCCCAACTCGATGGTACCACCATTCTTACTTTCATGGCATCCAGTCACTGACAAAGTCCAATAAACCAGTGCTACTCAAAGTGAGGTTTGCAGACTGATGCCAGCCAACAAACTTACTAGTCTATGATGAGATAACAGAAATTGAGAGTAAGCATTTAGAAACTTTTATAGCAATTTAAAAAACTAATTTATCTCTGGTGGATCTAATAATAAAAATTTAAAGCTTGTATTTTGTATTAATTTATATTTGATTTTTAGAGTTAATTTTTATTGCATTTTATGAAACTATCGTTCATGACAATATAGAACATTCGCCCTTTCTTTTGGCCGGAATCGCCATCTTCCAGTAATTCACCAAATTGACCGACACAAGGGAAAGGAGGAGAGGCACCCGCTATATGTTCTCTAGGGCTTTTAGAAAACATTGAGCTGTTCCTTTGACCACATACGTGCAAATCTACAAGAAAGGTGGTATTGTAGACATCAAGGAAATGGGCACTGTTCAGACGAATCCTCACCAACGTTACCATGGCAGATCTGGAAGAGTCTTCAGTGTTACCCAGCATGCTTTTGGCATCATTGTAAACAAACAAGTTAAGAGCAAGATTCTTGCCAAGAGAATTGATGTACTTGTTGAGCATATTAAGTACTCTAAGAGCTGAGACAGCTTCCCAAAACGTGTGAAGGAAAACGATCAAGAAAAGAAGGAAGCCGAAGAGAAAGGTACCTGGATTCCACTGAAGCGCCAGCCTGCTCTACCCAGAAAGGCGCAATGTGTGAGAACCAATGGGAAGGAGCCTGCACTGCTGGAACCCATTCCCTATGAATTCATGGCATGATGGGTGTAAAGACATAAAAGACTTCTGAGTAGAAGTGTGGTGTCCCCTCTCCCAAAGAAATAGTTAAAGAAAACTTTTTTTTTTTTTTTTAGGTGAGGCAACCCTTGGTTGACCTCACAGATTGCAAGGACCTTGGCACCTTACAATCCCTTATTTAAAAAAATTTTTTTTTATGCCTACAGCACCTGGTCTTCCTAGGTGGTCTCGCATCCAAGAACTAATCAGACCTAACTCTGCTTAACTTCTGAAATCAGACAAGATAGGGCTTGTTCAGGGTAGCATGGCCATAGACAAGAAAACTTTTTTAAAAAAAGAAAATATTAGCCTTTTACCAGTTAGTTTGAGAAGCACTGCTGTTGACACTTTTTTACCAACTTTTTCATATTCTTTCATTCCATTCTGGCTGCCACTCTTCTACCTAACTGAAGCTTTTATTATCATATACCCCAGTTTAATATAGTAACCTTTTGCCTGGTCCAGACTCTTCATTCATTACTAATGCTATGGTTAAATTCATATTTGTAAAACCACAATTGGAAGGGCTCAAAATGAGAACATTATTAGCTTTGTCATTGTCTAGACGTGGAAAATACTCTCCAACCTGCCCTTTTACCTATGTCACTCTTCTACTGAAGCCCATAGTAGAAGGAAGAATTCTATGTAAATAAAAAAAAATTGAGGCCCAGAGAAAGTGCCTTGATGCCTTTACGACCCTGCTCAAAATCCTTCAATGACTTTGCATGGCCTTAAATCTTTCAACAGTCTTATCTACTTTTTCCTTTGGCTACTTCTTTTTTTGACTATGTCAGAGCCAAATTGTACAATTTCATCATCTCATAAGTGTTTAGCAATATTTGTCCTCCATGTCTTCACTCATGATTTTTTCTTAAAACAGACTGTTCTTCCCAGTCCTTCTTTTCCTTTTATTTATTCCCAGTTTTATTGAGATATAATCGACGCAAAAGCACTGCATAAGTTTAAGGTGTACAGCATAATGACTTACATATATTATGAAATGATCACCACAATAAGTTATCTTCCATCATCTTATACAGATACAAAAGAAAAGAAAAAATGTATTTTTTTCCTTGTGATGAGAAGTCTTAGGATCTACTCTCAACAGTTTTCAAGTATACTATACACTAGTGTTAGCTATCGTTGTCCCCAATTTCTGTTTGGTAAAATAGGTTCTTTAAGACCCAGCTCAGATGCCACCTCTTCTGTGACTCTTACCTTATTTAGGAGCAAGTACCCCCCCCCCCTTTTAACTCCTAGGCAATTCATTTACCCTGTTAGTGACTAATTATGTATAATCTTGTTATTTAGATTTATATAATAATTACTATACTAAAGTTAATTTTTATTTATCTACTGGATTACCTTTGGGATATAACAGTCAAAGATATAATGGTTGAAGACAGGATGGTAGGGAATGTGTAAATTTTAATTGGGCCTAGAAGAATGAGAATATGAGCGAATAAATGGATAAATCAGGAAGGGAATACAGAATTCAACAAGACACTGAAATTCTTATATACAAGAAAAGAATGTTCTTTGTTTAATTTTAAGCCCCTTTCTACTTATTTGAATAAAAATGTAAAAAGGGAAAATTGTTTATTGAATCTTAAATTCTTTTTTCTAACTTTAAAATTGTAAAGTATATATAACATAATATTTAGTATTTTAACCATTTTTAAATGTACAGTTCAGTGGCATTAAGTACATTCATATTGTTGTGCAGCCATCACCACCATCCATCTCCAACAATCTTAAATTCTTGAAAAAGGTAATTGAAAGTCAGTTGATGTAGTTTTCATCTTGGTCCTTTTATTCCTGATTATTGAAAGAAATATAGAAGTTAATCACATAAAGAGTATAAATGACTCTTTAAAAAATCCTACATCAATAGATCTGACTCAGTCATGTGAGAGATGACTGTCTTAAGCTTTCTATCCACATAAAGGTCATCCTTCAACAAATTCTAATAATGACTCCATCTTGTTATCCTTTATTTTAATACACTCTATAACTATATTTTATTATAAGTTAACATAATCTTTTATACTTATGTGTGTGCCTTTTCCTTCATGGCATACAAAAATATACCTTTAGTCTCTTGTTTCCTACGTGCTCTAATGTAAGTCATTTGATTGTTTCCATTCATGTAATACATTTGAACAGTGCTTAGTGCCTAGTAACTACCCAATAAACATCAGTAGTCCATTTATTTCTCCAATATAAGTAAATCTGCCATGTATGGATTAATGTATATTATTTTTTTCCGCTCCCACTTTCCCATCCCCACATTTTGTATTATTTTTTTTATGATAGATTCTCCCAAATAGGTTTATAATACCAAAAAATCAAAGGATTGTGCCAATTTATAGTGTTTCCAGTAGTTCATAAGAACATCAGTTTCACCATATCTTTGCAAATATTAATGAATTTTCAGATCATCAGCCAAATACAGTGGAACAATATCCACGAACTAATGTTATTATAAAATAAAATTTAAAATATACAGACTCATGCATTCAAATTGGTCACCTTTATGTTCTTTATTGTATTGATTCCATTGATGAAAACATTCTTGACTCTCTTTAAATTGCCTTTAGAGCTATTCCAAGTAACAAGCATATTATTAGGACAAATTTATTACTATTTCTGGGTACATGTCCACAATCAGAGTGTGTGTGTGTATGTGTCTATATGATTGTGGATAGAGCCACATGCCCAGAAATAGTAATAAGTTTTTTTTACACACACACACTTTTCCAGTCACCATAAATGAAGCATTTTCATGAGCCCTGGACTG